CATAATGGTGTAGCGTAATGTCTTGTAGGGCTGCAAAAAGCTGGACTTTTAAACTATTGAAAGTCATGTCAATGTTGAAGAATCAGTGGTGACTGTGGGTGGGCTAACATGTACGCTGTACAATCCTACTGGTTGATTTCAATAACATCCGATCTGAAATAAAAACAATTTAAAATCATGTCTCTTTTACCAAAATGAAATTAACAGCTAGTGTAGCAAAACAATCTTTACACACAAAGTCAGAAAATGTTAAACTCTTGGCTGCACCACAATATCGTATACGTATATTGTATTGTATATCGTAATACAAGTTAAGTGTAATTATCACAGCTGATTTGCAACAAATATATTGCTACAATGAAGTTAACATAGGTTAATAACCACAGTAATAACAACAAATAAAATTAGAAAACTCAACAAAATATTTCATGTGCTTTGAGAAGTGCATCGATTATTTTAAAAAGCTCACAGGCTACACGAGACGATGACATCAGATCTAAACCCTACAAACTCACTGCTGCGGTACAACACTGTCACCTTTTAGTTCTCTACAGATCGTTGGGTAAAGATGCTAACACTGTTAGCACGTCTTTTTGCTAAAACAAAGTCAAACAACAGCTACAAATTTCAGTTTTTCTGTTTATAATGATCAATATTAACAATATGTTTTTGGAGTGTGTTAATATTTATCCACTCTGCAAACACAAGGGCAGAGGATGCCACGTTTTCATTGATTGAAGGTTTTGGCCTTTAGGGTAAATGTGCAGCTCAAAACATGTCAATACCTCAACCCCATAAACGTGAATGAAACCTTCTGGCTGTAAAACATGAGCCTATTTAAAGCATCCAGCTTTTCTTGTGACTGTTCGATGCTGTCCTAAATGTCACCAAAATGTAAAACAACCATTTTAAAGACTCCAACAAAGATAAGTCAGGTCCTCTGGACAGTTTCTGTTTGTTGAAACAGTCTACAGAAACCACCTGCGCACCATCAAACTGCTTGGTCCACTATGTGAAGGTGCTATTTATAAGGCTGAGTTTGTTGCAGCTCCTCAGACTGATGAAGTCTTTTGGATGAAGGAGGAAACATTTCAACCAAAATAAACCTTAAAGAGGACCTGACTTAACTTTGTTGGATTTTTCTAACTGGGTTATTGAGCATGAATCAATATGTTTTAAACACTGTTTGACTGCAGATTTATTTTCTTTTAAATCTTTATTGCAAATGTTAAGAAGGGTTTAGCCCTGCTAGCCCATTCATACTAGTCACGCTGCATACAACTTAGAATACAGTAGACCCTCATTTATTGTGGGGGATCTGTACCCTGAAACCTCGTGAGAAGTGAAAAATAGGAATAGTAGTACAAGTAGTAAGTAGTAGTTTATTTTATATATATATATATATATATATATATATATATATATATATATATATATATATATATAAAGACGTTTTAAACCCTTCACACCCTCTTGCAATATTGTAAACAATGTTTCTAAACTCTAAATGCTCTAAAAGAGCACAATGTCATGATTTCAGCTCCCTGCCGCCTCTGCTTTTTGCCACCTGCAAGCGCTGTCGGCCACGCCCACTTCTCTGCTCTGCACGGTGAACAGCTGATCAGCTGCAGCAGGAAGCTTATCCTGCAGCAGGTGCTAAATAATTTAAAATAATTTATTTTAAATAAAAATTCCATGCCAAATCGTGCAGCTCATCCATCAATCAGCCACTTGTATGTCATGTCCAATCTTATTTTGAAAAACCGCGATAGAGCGAGTCCGCGATAAATGAACCGCGATAGAGCGATGGGCTACTGTATAGTTTTGCAAATTACACACATGAAATTAGGCTGCGATCTTTTCAAATTTGGCTACTAAAACTGGTCGCCCTTCCTACTCTACTGCTTAAGAGCAACATATACATTGGGGTGGCTCAAGACTTTTGCACAGCACTGTAAACATGTTTAACCAGGATGGTGAAGGAGGTCAAAGAGGCAATTGTTCCCAAGAATTCACAGATTAATGGCTTACTTTGCCACAGACAGACGGGACAATCCCCTGACCTCCATTGTAGCCTCCAGCTTTTAGACACAGCCTTTAGATGAGCACTGAGACAACAAGAGCAGAATGTCTATGTGCCTTAGCCCAGGAAATTAATCTACACTTATTTACACTGCAAAAAAGATTAACCTCTGTAATGGCAGAATATGTATGTGAAAGCGCCGTTCCAACATCTTCACCACGCTAGACTGATGCAGCGAAGCATATCATTGTTCGCTGTGCGTGTGTGTGGGAGCATTTTCCACCTGTTGCAGAGGAGATGTAACGAGGGGTGGGAATGGATGGCAGCTGTGCCCCTAATAACCTCTGACACACAAACCCATGATACACTGACCCCCACAGCAACCAGCTCTTTGCTCGTCCAAACAGAGTGAAGCTAAAGATGTTGACAGTATCGTCTTACTCACCGGCTTCTTGTTAAGTGCTGAGACTAACTGCCCTTACTGCACTGATTTTACTGACACATACAAACACAGAGAAGAGCCAAGCACAGCCATGGAAGCAGTGAGAAACTTGATCTGGCTGTGGGGGAAATGCTGCTCATGAATGGCATCTCAGATCTTTTAAATGCTCCTCTAAGTCCTGCGCTATCTATTTACATCAAACAAGGCCACACCCTTTGAGCTTTTTCTATCTTTTTACTGCCTAACTAGGTTTGTGAAGACATTTCTACTGTAAAACATCACCTAAATTACCAAACTTAATTCAACTCATTGACTAATACATCTCAAAAACACAGAGTGAAAACTTTCTGCTAACATGTTAGTAGCAATTTATTTTAGGTGGTTTAGATATTTTTGTCCAGATCTAGAAAAGTGCATTGTAGGCTTTTGTCCACATTTTTAAAAGGTAACCAGGCTACAATCAGATATTGTAAGATGACACATAGTTGCTATGTTGTCTATCCATTAATCCTTCCGTGCATCCATTCATCATTCCACTTTTAATTTCCCATTGTTGGGTGGTAAACACAAGGTCAGGTTACCAAGGTGACCTCCAGGAGGGATCCCTGACACTCCTCTCTCCAGATCCTTTGAGATCCCAAGGCATTTCCAGGCCAAAGATGATACATATATAATTTCTCTACATTGGTGTCAGAGCATTTGTAATGTGTGGGGGGGACACTAGTGGGAGTGGGTCTGGAGGTCGCCCTCCAGAAAATTTTGAATAAAGTAGATGCCATTTCCTGGATTCTGGTGTATTTTAACGGGTTGTTGAACATCTACGTTTACAAACATTTGTAAACACTTGATTCAATGACTATTTTAGAGAGCAACAAGAAGTAGTCTGACCAACAGCTCTCCTTTTTTGATTAGAGCACGCTCCGCTTCTCTCACGCATCCTAAACACCCACCCCGGTCAACCACTGCCGGCACTAATGTAGCCCTAAGCTAGCGCAACACAAAGGTGTTTCCCTGTCTTCCCCCCATCCTGTCGAGAAAAAATCCTGAAGAGATGAGCGTCCTGCCAAGGCAGTTGACCTCGGAGAAACACGGCATGCGGTGTGGTGAGTTGTTGTAGGTAACCAGGAAAACCTGGAGTGGACTTTTACTGGTTTGAGTATTCTCCTATTAATTAAGTGGAATGGATTTGTTCATGTAACAATAAAAAAAGCGCTGGATTAACTAATATTTCATGGTAAATGTGTGTGTGCGTGTTGGTGGTGGGGGGTCCAAATGAATATCTTTCAAATGTAAGGGGACACATCCCCATCACATATAATTAATGCAACACTTATGTATCTCTAGTGAGTGTGGGGTCTCTTCACTGCGGGACAACTGATAACTCTACAGAGAAAGCTCACCTTAGCTCTTCAAATCCAAGATCTTAGTCTTTCGATTACAATCCATACCTCATCATGGTTGGAATGCATGGACAAGTAAATAATCGAGAGCTGTATTTCTTGGATAAGGTCCTTCATTGACAAGAACAACCACACCAACCTCCCCCATAACTGCAGATGAAGCTCCAGTTCGCCAGTTCCACACTCATCCTGCCATCACTCAGGATGAAGACTCCTAGATGCTCAAACTCCAATGCTTGAGGCAAAGACTCACCTTCAACCTAAAGAGATCATGCTATTGATTTTTTTTGTTTGTTTTATTTTATTGTTTTTTTTTTTTTACCAGGTATTACCAGACATTTTGCTGTTTAATATACTGTAATTAAAAATGTCTGTGTGTTTACATGTGGGTAATAGTGACATATATGATCATATATATTTTATATCTGGTACATTATAAGACACTCATGTGCTCTTACTAATTTTTGACACATATTTACATACAGTACTAAAATTAGCCTCCTAGAACTTCTTATTCACCAAAACGTTTGGGGAAAAATGTTTCTATTTTTTTACAAAAACATGATGGGAGTGCACCTCTTGCACAGGTACTGCTGGATATGGGCACCAGTGACCCCAGTGAACCAAAAAAGGAAGAAGCAGGTAAGGATAATGGATGCATGGATGATGGGAGTTAATGTGCTGTCAGTCTTTATTTAAAACTAAGACTTCTTAATAACGTGACTTGTGATAGACAGATGTGAGATTGGAATTGTGTCTTTATATCTCCATCAATGTGAGGAACACAATCAAACAGCATTAGGAACTGATTCCAGTACAAACCACTGCTCAGTGGTCAACTGTTATCACATCCCTCTCAGAATCTTTAGAATATCATTTTCAAAGTTCATCATTCATTTTCAGCATCACCGAGAGGTGGTCCAACTTATATCATTCCACAGAAGCTCAAAGTGGATGTATTTAAGCATTCAAAAGCGATAAATCAATTGACCTTTGACACAACATGCATTCTTGAAAATAATTGGCTCACACATCAAACCAGTGACGTTGGTTTGCCTCTAACATTTATAAGCCAACTTATAAACCATATTAGAGTGACACCAACCCATCATTAATGCACTTCAGTGGGACATACCTGGACTGCATCTCTTGTGTCTTGAGGCTGCTGGTGGACGATGCCGTGCTGCTCGTCTGCTGGCTGAGCTCCACAAGGGACTGGTAGTACTGCTGCTGTTGCTGCTGCTGCTGCTTGTAGCGCGACAGGATGAAGAAGAGGCCAAGGATGCTTTTCAGGTTGCCATTCCTGATCTCTGCATGAAAAAAGGGGAAAAGAGATGTTTATACTGTGATCGTTCTTTAGCAAATGCTTTGTTTAATGAGTTCAGTCTGCACCGTATTTTTGCAGCCTGTAGAGATTTACAGCTTTAAACTGCATCAACTCTCAACTGAAACACTGAATTAAGTAATAATTACTAGTTAAAGTGGTGCTGAAGTTGTTTTTCTTATGTCTAGGAGTGAAGCAGTGTCCTGTGATGCTGAACATAAATGTTTTTCAGACTGTATACTGTGTTCTTCAAACACCATAAAACAGCCATATGTTGACTTTTGAGGAAGACCACTCGACGACTGAGCTCAAGAGCAGCTCTTACGCACTAAATGTTCAAAATGTCCTGCTTAAAAAAAAATTACACATCAGCTGTGTATGATGTATATTACAAAAATTGTTTAAATTATATGGAAAGGCACAACCAATAGAACTTAGAGCATATTTTGCGTAAAAGAAAAGGCGTAAACCAGCACTAAGAAAAAAACAGTTGTCATGGATCCAAAGAAAAACATCTGCTAGCATGAACAAATTCCCAGCTGAGCAATTTAGAAGTGAAGGAAGGAATGAGAATTTCTCCATTTGTTAAAAAGAGGTTTGTTAGCCAAAACAAACAAACAAACAAACAAAAACAACCATAACATTTAGCTACAAAATGAGAAGCTGATAAACATTTTATTGATACTTTGAGGGGATATGTCAGAGATGGCGTCCAAATAAATCTGATGGAATAAGTATAAGAAGTAAAAGGCACGAAAGAAGGTGTGGTGTGAGCTTTCTTATATCCTCCTCTCACGTTGCATTTTAAATTGGGTTCAGATACAGAGCTGTGAGAACATAACATCACATTGCCTCTTTACATTTCTGGTACTCTAGCATATATAACATGAGCTCCAGGAATGCCAGTTTACCATGGATTTATTGATCATGGTGAAAAAAAGGTAACTAAATTAGGGATGCACCGATCCACTTTTTTTTACTTCCGATCCGATCCCGATCCCTAAAACTAAATATGGTCCGATACCGATCCAGTTCCGATATCATGATCATCATTGATTTTATATGAGGCTGTAATAATCTCCTCTCAAGTACAATTTGTACAAATATATGCATGTGTAGTGAACTAAGCCTCAGGTTAAAAAGGCAACTTGAGGTAAGTTTTATTAATGTTGGATAAGTTTTAAAGTTATAAATTCTGCTAACACAAAACATGTTTCTTTTTATTCCTTGTTTTAAAGTGGATATTAAAGTGATTAATTTAAGTGATTGTTTAAAGTTATTTTATATATTTTTATATAAGGGGCAGATATAATAATTATTTTTCTTCTTTCTGCACTCTTTTCATTCAATGTTTTCTTTTTGATTATTTTTTTTAATTTTGTTTCTTTTAAATGAATGAATAAAATAAAATGTTAAATGGCTTCAAACACCTGGCATAAACCAACAGGCATGTTCCTGTTTTTAGTATTTTACATCACTTTATAATGTAGCTATTTATGTTTTTAATATATATAATTTTCAAATCATGTTTTTTATGATTGTCTACTGTTGTACTGATAAATATCTCCTGGAGGATAAACTATATCTTGGCTGCAAGTATCAAGCTGAGAAATCCTTCATTTTCTACAACTGATAGTGGTTGGTCATGAATTATGATGAAGTCTCTGTAAACATTTGAGCTCCGTGGTTTCAGCGATGTCTTCTTCTTGTTCATTCCGAAGCAGGCAGCCTGATTTGGGGCAGCCGTGCTCAGTCTGTCCCTCCTCAGAGACGGGCAGACTGAGCGGGGCAGATTGGACGCGGCTGGCCGGGGTCGAGTTGCCTTTTGCGGGTTGAGCAAAGAGCAGCGCCCCGCTGAAGCCCCGGAGCTCAAATGTCCAAAGTAAAACTAACTTTAACGTGGTTTAATGTGGCGCTATGGCTCTGCAGACATTGCACATTGCTGTCTTGTTGTGTGGTGTTTAGTGTAAAATACTTCCACACAGCGGACGTGTTTAGATGAAAAGTTTGTTAGCTGTTAGCCACAGTGCTGCTAACTCAGTCCTCACGTTGTAGCTGGCTGCAAACTATGAACTGGATTTCCTGAATGTGAGGCGGGTCTTATTACCCTGGGCTCATGAGACACGCCGCCGTTCAGGAAATCCATTCCATAGTTTGAAGCCAACATGCGTCATGGATCGGAAATATCGGCAGGTGGATCGGTAAATCCGATACGTAAATTATGCTGGTATCAAAGGCAGATACCAATACTGGATCGGATCGCCCCATCCCTAAACTAAATAAAAGTTGTGTATATGCAATGTTAATAAAAGTGGGGAACCCTCGAGCCTTCAGCGCCTTCAAAGAAGTCTTAAGAATTCAGCATATATGAAAGGTTACATTTAACATTTTTATTCAATATTTATTTTATATAAAATAAATAGTTTCAGTGTATCCATTCATCCATACACACTTCTTCCTTTTCGGGTCAAAGGGTCACTGGTACACCTAACCTTAACTATATACATATAATAATAATAATAATAATAATAATAATAATAATAATAATAATAATGCATTATGTGTAGTCATCATTGCATGTTCCCATACAATGGCAAAGTGAGCGGCTGTTGGGGACGCCCAGGGGCAATTGAGGATAAGGTGTGCTGCTCAGAGACACGATGAGATGTACGACTGGGGATCAAACCTGGACTTTCAGGTCCCGAGTCGGCTGCTCTGCCTTTACCCCATCAATATATGTACACAATGTGAATAACCAGTGCACCGCACATTACACGCCCATCGACAAACTATTATAAATCAGTCTGTTGCAACTGCCCAGACAAGCAAAGTCCTTCTGTAATCTTTGACCTTGATTTGTGACCTTGAAACTGGCGTCAGTAAAAGTGGATGCCACACCCAGCCTAGTGATGATGCATAAGCACATCAAGTTTCATTAAATTATCTTGAGCGGATCAGAAGTTATGACCAGGACAAGCAAAGACCTTGCACGACATTTGACCTTGATTTGTGACTTTGACCTTTAAGCTGGGGCGATGCACAGTGTATGCAACCCTTCATCTAGTGATGATGCATATGTAAATCTATTTTTGTTGAACTATCCTGAGTAGATCACAATTTATAGGTGGGACAAGAGAAAGTTTAAGGATGGACGAACCAAGACTTTACTATAAAGAGCCCTACAACAAAAGAATTTTGAATTATGTCACCATATGTGACAAATTACAAGACAAATATTATTTAAACCAGCAACAGAACTGATAATCATATAAGTAAGATACAGTACAGATAAGTTGTGACAGATAAGCACATATTCATTATGTTTAGCCTGCAAAATTACGTGTAGCTTCGAATAAGCAACTTTCCCTTGCAGTGGTATTCTCATATTCAACCATCTTCTGCATATTCCAGCAGGCAAATTGCCAACTGTGGCTAACAAACCCATTTGTAAAATGGACTTATGAGATCATGCCCTCAGCTAGAGCTGGCACACAAAGCAGGGCGAAGATGGCAGTGATGGACGCAACATCTTTTATTGCCATCTTAATCTGCTGAGGCACAAACATTCTGTCCAGTCTTTCATGGCTATGTCCATTGACTGAAAAACTTGGAGCTGAATAATCCCTTGGAGATATTTTCCATTTTTTTAAAACCCAGAGGCGATCATTTATATCAAAGCATTACAAGAATCAGAACAGAGCCATTTTCTGTGCTTGATCAAAAACCAGAGTTGCAACTTTAAGCTTTCGTTAATGAAACCTTTGGGGAACCTTTAAAACTAGGCTGGGAGAAAAATGTCTAACTTTAAGAAGAAGATGCTTGAATGACAATATTCTGCGGTCTGTTGGGCGATTTTAGTGTACATTTTAAGTGTACGCTTGCTTCCTGGATTACTATTATTGAGTTTCTGTAAGAAGGAATGCATTATGTGCAACAACATTCAGGAGCATGTGGAGTTTGTGATGAGGGTTACAAAGACCCACGTTTTGCCAGCAAGACATTGTTTGTACTAAGATGGTCTTCGTCATTACCACCGGCTGAGGTTTTAATGGTTTGACCACTTGATGTTTGGGGCTGTCATGACTTGACAGAATACCCCGAGGTAATTGTCAGACATACAGTATTTGAGTTCAAATACAACAAGAATGAAGAACTACTGGACTCTTCTTCACACTATTTGCAACTTCTTTGTGTAAAACCTATATTAAATGGTGTAATGTGACTATTGGGGTGGCTGTGGCTGAGTGGTTAGAGCAGTCGTCCTCCAATGCAAGAGTTGGGGGATCGAACCCCACAACAGTCACATGCTGAAGTGTCCCTGGGCAAGACACTGAACCCCTTGTTGCCTCCGATGTGATGAATGTGTATGAATGTGATAAATCACTGATTAGTCTCTTTAGAATGATTTGTTCAATTAGCTTTGTAGAGATCTAGTAGAGATGCTGTATGAATGGGTAATGAGGACACAGATTGTAGTGTAAAGTGCTTTGAGTATCTCAATAAGATAGAAAGGCGCTATATAAGTACAGTCCATTTACCATTTACCATTTATTATGGTGGCATGTCAATTTTAGGCAGGTATCTGAATATTTTGTCCCCTGTCACGGAGCAAAAAAGGGGGAATGGAAATACCATCAGTCTATTCATGTATGTAGCTCGAAAAATAAGTGAGGTACCAACTTCCATTATGGTGTGTGGTGTAAGAAAGATGGGCATGTCAAAATCCAAAATGGCAACAGCTCATTTGCTATCTATCTATATGTGTATGTAT